CTGCAGCAGCCACACAGCAAACTCGGAAACAATTGCCATCAAAACTTTCTCCTAGCTCTCATAAGGGATCAAAGTTTAGTGATTCTGAGCCTGGAGTATCATCTCCTCTCCAAAGATCTGTCAGGCCTGCTTCTTTGGCATCCAGTGATTCTCAGAAAGGCTCTAAAACCAGCAAATCGAATGCTGGAACCCACTCCAGTCGAAATAGGTTAGTCCAGTCAGTTTCATCACTGCCTGATCCAAAGAAAGGGAGCAGCAGTGTGACACCTGATACAAAGGCAACTATGGCAAGGATAAGAAGATTGTCCGAGCCTAAAAAAACTAGTAGCCCACTTGTTTCTTCCATGAAGGGACAAAGCTCTGAACCGTCATCAAAGGCGAAAATATCCAGTGGGCCTGAGACCAAAAAAATATCAGCAATTATGAACCATGATAAAAGTAAGATTGCATCTCTTCCAGAACTGAAAATTAGAACATCAAAGGCTCCTGATGCTGCCACCAAGAAATCTGGTGCAAAGGAAATGGCTCAGAAGTTGAATGGGAGCAAGTCTTCTGCCACTGAAGTTGCTGAGCTGAACAGGAACGGGGAGAAAGTTTCATTTCATGGTGATGGGGATGATGCTACAGTAATTGAGAAAACTGTTGTGATGCTTGAATGTCAAAAGCCTGCCATTTCTGCCTTACATTCATCTGAAGAGACTGTGCAAGCACAGAAGGAACAGAATGGCATCCACAAACTAGGGAAAGCTGCTGAGATAGAGTCAGATTATGCAGCCATTCATGCACCAGTTTCAGCACTTAACATGGATACAATTGATAAAGAACCCACAGAACACCAAAAACCATGGCAAACTCATTCATGTAAGGTACGATTGATAAGAGTTAGTGAAGCAATTTTCCTTTCACTGGAGAGTTTGCCCTGGTGACCAACTAAATTTTTTTTAATATTTACAATAATTTCAGGTTGAAACGGGAAACATGAGCAACACAGAGAGAGAATCTTCAAATATATCAGGACTAGGTGTTACTGAAAAGGCATATCAAGCACCTTATGCTCGAGTCTCTTCTTTGGAAGATGCATGTACTAAAAATTCTGAGTATGGGAAAGCACCTCTAACTGGCTTGCAGATGGCAGTAACAGAGACACAGACTGTTAGTGTTAAAGCTCTTGCATCTAATGTAAATAACTTGAAACTGGAAAAGATTCCAGAAGCATTGGATAAGCCTCAGATGAAAGAGTCCAAGGGGTTTCGAAGGCTGTTGAAGTTTGGAAGAAAGAATCAAAGTCCAGCTTCAAGTGAATGCAATATTGAATCAGATAATGGCAGTATTAATGGTTCTGAGGCTGATGACTTGGCCATAAACACTTCCTCTTCTACTGAAGGTAACTGCAAATCTGAATTTTGATGGCAGTAGCAAGCGCAGTTCTTAATGTTCCTATCTTAATATGACTAATAAAGAAACAAGTAATTATCAGTAATAATCTAAAATGGTATCTGCTGGCACTTCTGCTCTTAAAATTTCACACCACATGATGCTGCTAAGAGTCAGACAAATATAATATTGCCAATCTTAACCATGAATGTTGCCAGCAGATCAATTACCCTGTCTGTGCCAATGGTCATTACCACAACTTGCAGGTTCACAATTCACTATAATATTGTTGTCATGATTGAAATGGGACAGAATGATCATACTAAAAAGGTGATTATTATTTAAAAATGCTTCTAAATCATTGGTTTATCTAGGAGAGAACGGTTGGTTTGCCGCTAGCTTGGTTACCTTCCTATTTTCAGACCTCCAGCTTGCTTGTCTATATCTTTCATTGGAGGACAGCAAATGTTGACTTACAAAAATATAGCCATCCATGATCAATGTGTTGCTACATTGCTAGAAAGCAAGTGATTCATTTTAAGATTTGAGTCTAGGTTTATATGACTGTCTCTTTTAGAGTTTCAGTAGTTATTAATCACATGTGCTCTGCATTCTAATCACAAATTTGTTGCTTCGTTTTCATTAGTTCATACACTGAAGAACCTGATCTCTCGAGACGAAACTCCCAGTGCTGATGGTACTGCCCAGAAGTGTAAGCATTTTGCATCAGTCATACCATGTTTAATTCTGTATTTTCCTTTCCTCCAGATTGATGATATGAATCATAACATGAATGTTGATCTGAAATCAAGGTTTAATCTGAATTGCTGCAGCTTCTCGCCATTTTTCATTGCTGTCACCATTCAGAAACAAGACTAGTGAAAAGAAGGCAACAACCTGACAAATTGATTGTAAAATATGAAGGTGTGCAAGCTGCAGGCTTTTATTTATTTTTGTACGATTTTGGCTGTGAATTATTGAAGATGTTCCTTTACATACATTTTGAATGTTTGATGCATTGAAATGTGACAGAAAAAAAAGCATAATACTCATGATATTGTTGTATAGTTGTTGTTTTTACATTCAAAATCCATATATGTGTGTTCTTACCATGAATCAGTTTGTCATCTTAATTCTCCTCACTCACCATACCTTAATTTCCAGGTTTAGATCTTTGCCCTTTACATTGCCTCGCCTGAAAATTGCGAGGATTTTCAGTACTTTGATTAGTTCTTCCCCTGCATGTCCAAAATTGGTTGGAACAGTGGTTTTTGAGTTAATAATACCAGTCTGTCTCAAAGAAATTAAGCCCATGAATGGAAGATAACTCCATTAAAGAGAAGAATATCGCTCAGTCCAAGTATAGTTTACGTGCTTTCAACACCAACCATTAGAGTCCCGATGACATGATGCGCAGTGGAAAATTCCTCCCTGCATTGATAAGTATTAAAGCTCATTTCCTCAAGAACCTAGATGAAGCTTCCACAGATATTCCTATCTGGTATTTACTTGACAATCGTCCTTGCGCCTGATTCACCATTGATGAAATGGCAGTGTACCAGGCAATGAATACTAACAATAGTAACCCTAGTGTAAACGACAATGGCGCGGCACATCATCTGATGAAATTTTATGGCAACATAGGATTTGGAAATGGAGGGATACACTATAAAATTACCACAATTCTCAAAAGAAGGGAAGGACTATTACCACCAGAAACCACATTGATAACTAAAAATAACAATATCCAAATAGAATCACTACAATATCTGTCATATTTGGAACAAATTGTGTGTCCTCACTACTTTAATCTCTGACTAAATAGGGAAGCAAGCAAAAAGAGAACATTCAAAATGGACTTGATAATTTTGATGGGAAAACTGTCAAAACACAATAACACTTCAGGCTGCATTCTTTTTCAGCTTAGCAAGCTCTTGCCTGACTACCCCAGCCCTCTGCACAAGCATACAACGAATGTTTTAGTCAGGGTAAAAGTTTCAACTACTGAATTCGATGCAGAGGAATTTAGAAAAGCATTTAGATGGTAAACATAACAATGGAGGATGTATCAAACCTTAATCTTAGCCAGCATTATCTTGAAACGGTCGAAGTCATTGAGAGCTGCCCTCCTCTTCTGGACAATTAGCTTTCTACCCCATGAGCTATTCTCCCACTTGTTCTTCACATCTGCCATCAAAGAATCAGAATCAAAAGGTGATATTATATATAAAACGAGATACTAAAACAACAGTAAGAAATATCATGCCTACCAGCCTTCTCCATTGCATCAATGAGCGTCTTCTTCTTTGGAACCCGGGGAATGTCAATCTTGATATCAGTTAGAGAAAGTCTCTTGAAATTCATTTGGCCTCTCACCATGTCAGGAGCATCAACTAGTGCCTATCAAGAAAAAAAAAAAACTTCATACCACTGATGTTAACTAACATAAAACTTATCACAAGCAACACTGAAGGAGAATATAATTGAAAACCGCTACTAAACTCTTAGCTATTATTCACTCAATAATAATCAAAAGATTATAAATAAGCCACATGCTTAGCTCTTATTACACTCTTAATCACCTAACCCAGATACAGCAGTCAACATACTACTCCCATAATAAAAGAGAATCAAATTCAATGTCGAAATTCGAGATAGATAAAACCATATCAACCAAAATATGCTCAAGTGAAAAACACTGAATCATTTCCATCAACCATCAACTGAGCTTGAATTTTAGATTAATATAAGAACCAAAAAATAATAACCCTAAAATTAAGATCAACCAACCCTTAAACGGCCGCATCCAGGAAGCATTATTCTTAATCTTCCTTTCCCTTTAAAAAAGAAAAAAAAAAAGTTTCTCTAGAAATACCCAGAACCCATTCACCATCATCGAAATTCCATATTATTAAACATCAAATCAATTACAGCTTACATATAAAACCATAAATTAAACATCTTTTTTATAAATTAAAATTAAGAAACGCAGATCGTAACAGTTAAATCTCAACAGAAACATACTCTGTTCTGGTCGACGACATCGACGATGACGACGAGCCTCCCGTACTCTTTCCCATAGTTAACAAGGGCAACCCTTCCGATCTCCACGTACCTCTTGAACGGCTGCCAGAAAGAAAGCAAGAAATCAACGCAAAATACAAAATGGAGCTTAGAATGCACATCACAGGAAGAGAGAAAGACTCACCATTTTGCTGCGGCGTTGGGTTGTGTCTCAGTGAGAGAGCTGCGGACGGAGAGGGAGGCGGCGAACAAATGAAAAGGAAGAGGTATTAGGGTTTTGTAATATGCTGTTTTTATAAGCCGTTTCTGACCGTCCGATATAGGGCTTTGAAGGGATCTAGGAAAATTATATATTAGCCCCTTACCGTTCATGACATTCCCAAATATCACCCTCCTACATTTTGTTTTTTCATTTGAGGTCTCAATTATTCAATTTTACCATTTGAACTCAAAATTAATTAATCAATTAATATTATCACTTAATTATACTAACTATTAAAAAATTAAAAGGCCATCAATATGCTAAATATCAAAGGTAAGAAGTTTTGAATTTAAATTGTATAGTATACGAGTAAAATAAGTTAAAAAATGAAAAAAAAAAAAACACTTTTTATTGTACAATTCAAAATTATAAAAGAATAAAATGCCTATTAAGTAATGTTGTTGTTGTTGTTGTTGTATGTTTTTTACTTTTAATTTTTATTGCTAAAATTTGAATGATTGAAAATGACCATTAGAAGCTAAAATTGAAAGCTAAAAAATCAACTTGTTACTAATGAGGTTTCAAATTTGATAGCTAAAATAGCAACTTTTTTAGTTATCTAATTTATTTGATTTTAATTTAATATTATTCAAATGTTAACAATAAAAATAAGGATTAAAAAAAAAAAAAAGGAATGACAACAACGTTAAATCTACCCAAACTCTAACAAAGCTCTGCATGCCCGATCCCTCTACTTTTTTTAATCCAGTACTTTTCCAAGAAAATTACTCACTCGGCACTGGGTTGAAAGTTGTCCTGGGCTAATCTTCAGTTAATTTCATGTGATCTGTAAATTAGTAGCCTAAATGACATTTTTTAATCTTAAATTACACAATAAAAAATAATTCTCATTAATTTTCTAATTTGTCCTACCCATATATCAGTCCAATTGATTTATAATGCTCGACTAACCATTGAATGTTAACTACCATACCAAAAGGCATTTGATTCGATGGCAACTCCTTTCAAAAGCAAACACAACTTTTTTAGTCGATGACCACCTTTCATTTACTAAAAATGAAAGCAACTAATTCATGGCTTGTTTCTTAGTGAAAAAACAGAGAGTCAAATGCTCTGAACAAAATGAAAAAGTGCTACTTTGGAACTGAGAATGCCTGATCATTCACAGAAGACAGAATAATGCTTCAGAAAATGAAAATATTCTATACTTTAGAATTTAAAATCTCAGAAGGATTAAATTTTTTCCAGATACAAGATAACATAATGATAAAAAGAAAAGCATTCTCAAATACCAACGATCTATTGGTCCGATTGAAAAGTATTCAATTTCTGTTAAGTAAGATTTCGAATTTTAAAAAGTGTTCAATTTCCGTTAAGTAAAATTTCGATTTTAAGTCTTATGAATAGAAAAAAAAGTGTGGAAAAGAGCTTTCCTTTTATAGGGTTTTATGGGATCCGATATGATTCAATTTTAAATCAGTCAAGACCTAATATTGTTACTGGATACCAAGAGATTAGCAAAAAAAAAAAAAATTATTCTCAAGTACTAAATTTTTCTGGGTGGTGAAGAAGTTGGACATTTTTCCTGGTGGGGACTGCGTGCGAGGAATCTAAAGTAGAAACCATGAACAAGGAATTTTTCCCACTTTCGGCTGCGCTTCTCTTTTTCAATTCCATTCCTAATGATGTGCACATTACTTAATTAAGAAAAACATTCAATACCAAGTTCCTCCCCCTTCCAAGCTATAAATTAAAGGCTCTCTTTGCTTGTTTTATGGCGTGTCCTAGGTACTAAGAAAAAACAAAGCGAAAAAGGCATGAGATCAGAAGAGTGGGAGAAATCAGATGGAGAGAAAGTGATGGATATTAGTCTCAATGAACTCTCCCAGAAACTGGAGGAATTTGCCAAGGCTAGAGACTGGGAGCAGTACCACAGTCCGCGGAATCTCCTTCTTGCCATGGTAAGGATTATATCATATTATGATTACTTCAACTTGGTTTTGGTTAAGGTCACCCTTAAATTGTCAAAATTTTAATTATAGTTTAACTATTAAAAAAAGTTAATAATTAATAAAACAGTTAATATTTATTATTTAACAAATTAAAATTAATTTATAAACAAATATTTTCAATTATTATAACCAATTATTTAATTAAAAAATTATAAATTAATAAAATTACGAGTATAATGGATGGCCTTAACAAAAATGAAGGTGGCTCTCCAACTCCAGAGTGTTGTTTTTAATGTTCTGGATTTGTAGGTTGGAGAAGTAGGAGAGCTATCAAAAGTATTTCAATGGAGAGGAGAGGTGGATAGAGGATTGCCTAATTGGGAGGAATCGGAGAAAGAGCATTTGGGAGAAGAATTGTCAGATGTGCTGCTATATCTCATCAGGTTGTCTGATATTTGTGGAATTAATCTTGGTGATGCTGCCACCAAAAAAATTGTCAAGAATGCCATTAAGTACCCAGCTAAGGGGTTCTAAGAGACCTGTTTCTTCCCCTTGCTTTTGATGTAATCCTTCTGCCCCTTCGAGAGTGCATACTTAATAAACCTATCTTTCTCTCTCTCTCTCTTTTTTTTTTTTTTTTGTTTCTATTCTGTTTTAGGCTTGGATGAATAATTGTGTGAAATGAATTATTTTGATATTTATTCAAATAAGATATATTTATGAATCTCGTCGATCATCATTGTGACTCAATAGTCATAACTCTTTTAAAAAACATGGTGACATTTAAAAGTCAAAACCTAATAGTTATAACTCTTTTGAGAAGTGTGGTGATATCTAAAAGTCAAAAGTTTAAGTTTTAGCAATTCCATTCTCGTATCCCTCAATTGTACTATTTAAAAAAAATATTTATAAGTTTGTAAGGCTCCTATTTTAGTTTGAATTACAAAATAAAAACATTAAATGAGAAAAAAGCTTCAAATATTATGGAACTTATTCCCATCCAATAGTAAGAATGTTTATTATTTACTTCTTGTCCCACGACATATGTCTTCTTCTTCACTAAAATTCTGTTTTAAATTAACTAAAAAAAAAAGGGTATTTTGCAAACATTGCAATACATTAACCATTAAGTAATGAAGGGACCTTTATAATGAGTGAGAGCCCCTGCATCCATCCAACTGTTAATGTTTTTCAATTTGAATTACATAAACACTTCACAAGATGTATTAATTTTTCATTTTTCATCTTAAAAGTGTAATTAAAGCTCCTATTTTAAAATCACTTCATTATAAAAGTATTTACTTCTATATTTCTTTCCTCAATAAGTAAAGCTGACAAAAATATAAATTAATCAAAGCCATAATTGTCATTCTAAATTGTTGAGCATACAATAACAACAGATATTGCTGAAAGGAGTGACTAATAATAATAACTTTAAAATGATGTAACTATGAATGAATGAATGAAACTTATATTTTCATTTTTTAAAATTATATAACAAATTATATAATAAAAAAATAATTTTTTTCTTAATCTCTTTTTATATGTATTAAAATTTAAATTTAAAATTTTTAATTCGAAATCTCAAGGTAATTTTTGACTCAAACTTATACTCTAATAGCTCGTAGCCTAGTGACCATTCAGGCACTCCATTCCCCCTACCCAAAAATTTCCATAGTTTAAAAACAAAAAAAAAAAAAATAATTGTAATTGATCTATAATTAAAAATTTACGAAATCAATTACCAAAAAAATTTATGTACATAAAAAAAACTAAAATTTTAATATCTTCATTAAACAACTGTAAAATAGGTTTCCATATTTAAAAAAAAAAAAACTGTAAAATATGTTGATCATAAAAAATAAAATAAAAAAAAATAAAAAAACAGTAAAACAGGTCCATCCAAATTGAATAAAGAAACGCGTAAAGAAACGCCCGGAAAGAAGAATTAACACAGTAACCGGCACAGCTGGTTTCCCTTCAATTTTTCCAAATCTGTCGTATTTAAGCAGAACCTGATTCTCAAAGATTTCTTCCATTTCTGAATCGAATCGGAATAGAAACCAACAATTTTTGCTTTCGGTGTTCATTCAATTAATTTAATCCATTTGGGTTCTGCAGTCGGTTTCAGATCATCCCAGTTCAGTTCATAGCAGAATCTACCTGTACTGATCCCACTTTTTCAACTTTGTTTTCTCACTACTTGATCCATTGAATAGATCCGTTCAAATCTGTCCACTGTTCTGTGAAAAGTTTTCTCCTTTTTTTTTTAATTTTTATTTTTTTTACTATTGCTAATGCAAATTCAGCCAATCAATTAAAAACATTTGATTTGATACCCATTTGTGTAAATGCAAATTCTTTGATATGATTTTGAATTGGGTTTTGATTTTTCTGTTTAATTCTTCTCGATAGATTGTTATATTAAATTTTGCTATGAGTTGAGGCTGATTATTGGGTTAAAGTGGGTTCTTTTATTAGATCTTGAAAAAGCTGATCTTTGTGTTCAATTTGGGTTTTTAATTTTTGATGCAGTGGAAGTGAAGTGTAAGAATGGCAGGAAGTGTTTTTACTCCTTCTCTGGAAGAAATGAAGCATGTCAAGTCGCCAGAAGGCCAAATGCTCACGAAGCCTTTCCTGGATGTCTGCAGAATGATTTTGCCTGTTATTGGTATGTTTTCTATAAGTTTTATTCAAGGATAAACTGAAAAGGCGCTGATCTTTTCTGGTTATTGGTGCTTTTGTTATTATGTTAGGATCTATTATTTTGGTCTGCCTAGTGTCCTCTGTTCAGCCTTTGAGTTAAGTGAGGTTCAGTAATGGTTGTTTTTCTCGCTGCATATATATATATATATATATATACACACACATGGAAACCCTGTTTTACAGTGCAGACTGCATCGGACTGTAAAACATGGATTATTGGATGGGAGAGAGCCCTTTTATCTGGGACCCAACCCCCCCGATCCAATGATTAATGTAGTGAAGTCTGATGGTACTGTCTATAGTGTACTACACTTTTTCATATATATATATATATATGGAAAACTGTTTTATAGTCTGAACTGTACTAGACTGTAAAACATGGATCCTTAGATGAGGGGCGAGCCCCCTGATACTGGGGCCCTCCCCGTATCCTATCCGGTTGGACTGTACAATTTGGATTGTAAAACAGCAGACTAATATATATGGCTCTCATCACTGCATACATTAGTAACCTATTTCCAAGGAAGGTACCCTTCTTTGCCATAGCACATGCCACTGCACCAGGACAGTGCTGGCTCTCACTCTCGAAGCCTATAGTATGGGTTCTTAATTCGCTGAACCTTTTGACAATCTGAGCTACTTTATTGTTTCTGTTATCAGATAAGTTTGGAGCTGCTATGGTCCTTGTAAAGTCTGACATTGGTGGTAACATTTCGGTAAGATGTTTTATTTGTTTGATTCTACATCTATCTTTGCAGGAGAAACTATAATTGCTGCACATTGTCAAAGAAAATATTCTTAAAATATTACCTGCAGTAATTCCCATTTTTTAAAAAATGTTTTGTCATGGAGCTTGTAAACTCTACTTATTGCTGCTGGTATTGATTGTCCCTTGTGATATTTGTTGTCAGAAATCTTTTCATTTATGGAATTACTTCGGACAATAGTTGGTGTTTTCTGTTTGTTTCTCTTTGAACTACATTTGAATCCTAACTTATAGTTCTAAGTCTGTTCAGTAAAAATTGAGTTTTATTTTTATAAATAGTCTGTTCTTTTCTCTTTTCGATTTTGTGATTCTTGCATTTTGATTTTATACTTATTGTGGATAATGGGTTTGATTTTCAGAGGTTGGAAGCTAAATATGAAACCAACCCATCCAAGTATGAACACTTGTATGGTATTATACAAGAAGAGGTTGATGCTAAAACAGCCAAAGGATCATCTAGTTGTACCAATGGTCTTCTTTGGTTGACAAGGTACACACAGTTTCAGCTTTGTTGTACATATCTTTGTATCAGTGCACTATTGCTTTTCATTAATTTTGCTTTGGTGAATGGCATATTAACTTATTAGTTTTCATCATTTTCAGAGCTATGGATTTTCTTGTAGAACTGTTCCGCAATTTGCTTGCTCACCCTGATTGGACTATGTCACAAGCTTGTACAGACTCTTATGGCAAGACTCTTAAAAAATGGCATGGCTGGCTTGCTAGTTCAAGTTTCACAGTATTTCCTGCAATCCTGTTCAGTTTATTTTTATTGCTAGCTGTATCTGTTAGATGCCAATTCTGATATGCTAACAGTACTTCTCAAAACCAGTTGACTTAATTTATACTATACTGGTATATAGGTTGCTATGAAGCTTGCTCCAGATAGGAAGAAGTTCATGGAAGTGATAGCTGGCTCAGGAGATGTCAATGCTGATATTGAGAAATTTTGTTCCACTTTTCCTCCATTTCTTGAAGAGAATCACAAATTTCTGGTAAGATCTTTGATGCATTTCAGCATTCCACTATTCTGTTTAATATTTTCAGCAAATATACTATATTTTCACCATGATGGCTGTCACAATTTGAATATAAAATCTCGAGAGGGTGAAGTGTACTGAATTCCATATTCTCGTGATAAGTCATTACTTCACTGATGGTCTTTTATTCATGGTTCACTCTTTTGATTAAGCATAGCTAGTGATAAGAAACTATTCTTGGATCTTTGATTTTATTGCTTTCCATGTGGCTGTTTGTGGATTGTAACCATTGAAAGACCAAAATTTCTGTGGATGCAGGCTAGTGTTGGGTTGGATGACATGAAGGCTTCGTAATGGAAAAGGCTTTCCAAAGTGGTCGATACACAGCTTTTGTTTACAGTCATCTTTAAAATTACTTTCTGATATTTATATTTGGCTTATAAACTTTTAAATTGGATTCCATGACCTAATAGTTATTGTATGATTTGCTTTTTCCTATCTGAAGAGCTTGACATTGTATGTCTTGATTAGGTTTAGCTTTTCTTGACTTTAATCTCTAAGAATTATGCATTTACTTTTTCACACCTTTTTTTAAAAGATTTTTTTTAATAAATATGAATAAATTTTA